GGGGCCAGGGGAGGACAGCGGCAATCCATGCAGCTGAGAGACGATGGGCAGCTGGTGGTGCAGAGAAATCCCAGGAGAGTGCTCCCGTGTACCGATGAAGGACAGGAGCACTTCCTTCCCAGGGATCAAAGAAGAAAAAGTCCTTATTGGATTCCAGGCAGCGCTGTGCTTAGTGTTAGTATATGTCAGACAGCAGCACCATAGGAGGTGCCAACATTGCCCCATTTTGCAGATTAGAAAATGGGGCCTGATGTTTTCAGACCACGAGCCCGGGTGGGGAGATGTTGTGAGGATGTCATTAGGGTCTGAGTGCAAGCTTGCCCTCACTGGGACCCCTGGCGGAGACATAGCATTCTGAAGCACAGGGAGCAGCAGTTGAGGAGCTAATGCGACCCACTTAGGGGTCGTAAAGAAGTGAGATCACCTCCATCTTTCTAGAACTTAACAGGAGTAGGAGAAGGCTGGAACGGCCACGCTGGGACAGTAAAGGGACCCCAGCATGACTAAAAGGCATGCTGGGTGCAGCAGGGCCCCAGCTGGGCTGCAGAATAGGAGTTGGGCCGTGGACCCTTTTATGATTTTCTCCAGTGGTCTCTCACCATCTGAGGAGGTACGACCCCACTACTTCCGACTCCAACCTTGATTGCAAGCCAGAAAGAGCAGCATCCCTCTCGGATGCCCTGGGTCATCGGCAGAGCAAGGGATGATGGGATCCCCCAGGTGCTAAGATAGGCCAGGTGGCAATGAAGGAAACTGGAGATGGGAGAGGAGAGAGTCTGCTGCTGAAGGAATGGACTGACCTCCACGGGGCCTGTAAACCCAGAGGGGGTCTGGGGGAACTGAGAGGGGATTGGGAGGCTGGCGTGAAAAAGCATCCGTGTACAGAAATGCATGCATGGATGGTCACACATTAGAACAGCCTAGGAAACTGCCACTTGGCTCCTGATCCAGTTGGCACCCGGCCAGATGAAAGGAAGGCCAGTGTCGTGCTGTTTACCACGGGGACCACAGTTGGGGGCTGAAGGGCCCAAACCAAAGTCCAGTTGATTCTGCGTCCTAGAGATTCCCCCTAGCGGACAGTAGCATCGCCCCACTGGGTGTCCAAGGTCGTATCTTCACCAAAGCAGATGACCACAGCCTTCTCCCTCCCAGCAGCCAATGGGCCCTAAGTGCTGACAGTTTGTGTGTGTGTGTGTGTGTGGTGGGGTGGGGGGGTTAGCAGCCCAGCACTTGGCTGCCAGAGCTAGATCAGCTGATGAACCTTGGATCTGGTAAAGGCCTGATGTGAGCTAACGAGGTTGTATTACAACGACACTCTGCTCTCTGAAACAGCCCCCTCAGGAGCAAAGAAATAAAGCCATGTTTCTTTGGCGGCAGAAGATTTAACATTGCTTAACAATAACACTTAACAGCGTTTAGCCTCTTGCCTTAGGCAACCTCACCACTACTGAGAGGGCTCTCAACTGTCTCCCTCCTGTGCCGCCCGGGCGCTGCCTTTGTTCGGTGCCATTTAGCCTGGCCGCAGGCCTCATCGACCTACTTTAAAGATGACAGCATTCCTTGAAAGTGGATGAGGGCGCCCCCTGACCGGGCTCCATCCCAACTCTGTGCCCAGGGGGGCATTTTTGCTCTGAGTCGATGACTCCGAATGTAGCCTATCAATCAACATTATTGAGTTTATCTTCAAGACTCCACATACAACATAGGGAGCCACCCAGTCAGCGGCACATGAAGTCTCCTTCACGCGAGGCCCCGAATCCGATCGGTAGCTACTTCTCTTTCTAATTAAAAATGGAACTCCATCAATAGTTCCATGTTCCCTGCCTCTGTGACAAAGAGGGGAGCCGGTGCCTACAGAGACGGGCACGCCTCCCTCTCCTGGCAGAGGGAGATAGCAGGGGAGTCTGGGTAGCAATTAAGTGGACAGTGGGACCTCAGGGGGTGGGAAGCCTTGGGTTTCAGGGTCAATGTCACCAGCACGCAGCACTGAATTACATACTTTCTCAGAAGCCAGGGCTGTGTGCTCCTGCCTCAGCATGCTGCATCTTCTTCAAGGAGGGATGGAGCCCCCCACGGACGGGCGCTCCTCCCCCTGCGTGGTCGGTGCTTTGCCTTTCCATTTAGATACTGTGAGGTTGAGCTCCCATGCCAGGGAGCTCTCTTGCAAGGGACTGTTTGTGCTCCACCGCGGCTGCTTCTGGGTGCCAGGTGCTGCCAAGGTCTGTGTGCTCATGCCGCTAATCACTCCCACCGTTGTACATGGGTGTGAGTACACTTTCCCCCCCCAATTATTTCCCATCGACGAGGCCTTCCTTTCTGCTACAATTAGTCTGCTTCATGCCCACCTCCTCACTAGCTCTTGGGGCTGTTAGGGTCTCGTCCATTCCCGCATGGCGATGGTACCCCAGCACCGCGGACAGCATACGGGAACGTACTCCCCTGGTCAGAAGACGCCCCGCACCGCATGTCATCCGAATCTAGACTTGTTTCAGAGGCGTCTGAGTAGTATAGTGGTTACACACTGGGCTGCTAACTAGCAAGGTCAGCAGTTCAGCAACCACCAGCTGCTCCTAGGGAGCAGTTACATCCTCAGAAACCCACGGGCGGTTCTACCCTGTCCTGTAGGGCCGCTGTGAGTCGGCATTTACTCAATGATTGTGAGTTCGGTTTGTTGGTTTGGGAACTTGTTTAGCATCAGCCATGATCGGCAGTTCATTGCTGCCACACAGAAAGAAACTAGGAATGCAGAGAATTTTATGTTAGCAACTATTAATGTAAGCATTTGTTGTCCTCTAATCACAGTGCGATTTGCTGGCCTCTTACTAGATTGTAGGGTCCTCGGGCCTCTAGTCCTGTACCTTTGGGGCCTGATGCGTAGTAGTAGGCTACCACTAGAAGTATGGGGAACAAATGGTTGAGCAAAATTTACAGCTATTTTAAATGTCACTTCTGAGAGTTTTGATATGTGCACGCACACATGCACACACACAGTGATTTATTTCTGCAATCTGACTGCATGTTGGCCAGGAAGGTAGGACGCCATTTCCAGATTTTCTTTTTTTCTGCCTCCGAAGAACAGACTACTCCCATCTGCCGTCGCCATTTCCACACCCCTCCCCAGCAAGCCAGCAAGCCTCCACGTAAGATGAACTTTGGGAACGATTTCTGTTCTTTTAATGAAAACAAAATACTAGGCCAGGGAGAAGTAGGTGAGAAGCACCCGGAGACACCATTACAAAAAGAAAGAAAGAAAAGTGACAGGCAGACAAATAAGCCACAGTTGTCTCCTGACAATCTGCTCCTGCGAAGACGCCGGTCAAGAAGACCCTCTGCCGCCCGGGTCACTGCGAGGCAAAGGTGACTTACCAGCACAAGGCAGCAAGCAGGTCTCCAAACACAACTAGGTCTCTGAATGTAGTGTGTGTGTGTGTGTGTGTGTGTGTGTGTGCGCGCGCGCGTGTGTGTTTACTGCGGGAAGAGATCTATAATGTTTGGGAAATACTAACAGTAATAATACCTAAGAACCAACCCGATGATGTTTATTGCAACCCAACTCATGAGTTAGGTTAGAAAAGAAAAGAGAGGAAAAAGAAAACAGCAGGAAAATGGGTTAAAACTGCTGTATAGCCAATATGACAGAATGTAATAACAGAATGTAAAATTATGCAAATTTTAGCTCCATGGACAACTGTGCACATTCTGTGTATTTTCTGTCTGCAGCGAATCTGGGGGGGGGGGGTAGAAAATAAACTAAGAAGCATGTAAAACATGCAGTCATCGGGAAGCGTCTGAAACACTGTATTTTACGTCCCCAGCCCAGTTTGACTAAAAGCGTCCTCTGCTGGGTTTGAGATTTCGTTTGTTTGAAAAGCAATCTCCTATTTATAGGAGTAGCTGCCACCAAAGCGTATGTGTTGTGTGGTAACTGACTCGTTACTGCGGAGCCGAGGTGACTCGCGAGCCGGCAGGGCCTGGTTTCTCAAGTCAGTTGCCTGGTCTTTCCTGCGAGGCGCCTCTGAGGGGACTCAAACCTCTGACTTTTCAGTTAGAAGGCAAACACATTAACCAGAGCCCCGCAGTGGGTGATTTCTGTAAATCCACAGGCAGAAGTAGAGCTGATGTGCAACTCAAAGCAGAAATTCCACCTCTGAGTTAGCAACTCAATAAGAAGCCCTACTGGGGGTCCTCCCCCTGCACTGCCCCCACCCTGGCCCCCCTTTTAAAAAGAAACATCCCACAGCCTCCCAGTGCTCTGGCTGGCATATGAGCCTGTTTGCTTTCTTTCTCTGACCCTCTCCATTCCTGAACTCCCACAGCCGCTGGACAGTCATCTCGGAAAGGCCTCCTTCTTGCCAGGCACTGCTGATAGCAGACTGAAATTATGCTTCATCTCACAGAGGAGCGCCCACACCTCTGAGAATTGTATCTCATTGTCAGGGGTGTCTCGTTACAGCCTAAGTGGATCATGTTAGGCCTGACTCTTTTCCCACGCCGTTGTTCCTTTTCCCTCTCTGTGTCTGCGCCTCTCAGCAATATTTGCTTATTGCCCAGAGAACACAGCCGGATTCTAAATCGAGCAAAGAACACCTTCCCAGGTTCACCTTTCTCTCTGCTTTTTAACACCCGCACAAAGCCCCAAGGTGAAGGCTGGCACGCCTTTGCTCGTGGGGAACTCCTAGGACACAGGATTTACTGGTTTATGGTCTCTAAGCTCGGTGCAGGCTGTTCAATCCCATTTTTATAGTAATGGCTTAGGATTTCCATTCAGTATCCAATATTCTTGCTGACATGTTCAATTGCAATGATATACTATTTCTTCCCTTAACAAATAAGCCACAAGTGTTCCAATTATTAGCACAGTGGTGACGACGCACCAGAGCTGCAGCAGACAGCAGGGAGGAAGACACAAGGCTAACGTATTCCCTGTGCAGAAGCCAGCTTTCCATCACATGCGTATTTCTCTAAAGGCTTCATGTGCAGGGGACCCCTCGGTGCTCTACCTGGGTAAGGAGGCATACTGTCTCTCCATCCCTTCAAAGCGGAGGTGATGTGCATTTCCATCTGGACCCTTTCCAGGCACCTGTGGAGAGAAAAGTAATTAGAGACAAAGCTGCATTATACACCCTGGTTCCTGACAGGCATCACAAAATTATAATCAGTGCACAAATGCTGGTGCCGCTTGCCAAGACTCGATCCTGGACAAGCGAGCAGCCTTACAGCCTCACTGTAGGGATTGATGACCAAGCCACACCCACGACACGAAATGGCAAAGGCACTTCCTTCTGAAAGGGTCATTGTCAAACTGGCTCCTTCTTGTCCCCGAGTGAGGGCTAGTCCATACACTCTAGTTTCTTTTTCATTAGACTTTACTTCATAGAGCCCTAGAGCCTACGGTGGTGTCGTGGTTGCGCATTGGCCTGCGATCTGCTTGGTTGGTAGTTCAAATCCACTAGCAGCTCTGCAGGCGAAAGACTGGGCACTGGTCTCCTGTCAACAGTTACAGTCTGGGAAACTCACAGAGGGTCAGTACGAGTCTGCACTGACTCGTGGCGGTGAGAAAGAGTTGTTTTGATAGAGCAGTGTTAGAATTGTAGGAAAATTTAGGAGATCATGTAGAGTTCCTATATGAGCTGTATTCAATTCCCCCTATTATCAATCTGTCACTAGCAAAGTATATTTCTTATTGTTAATTGTCCGATATTGAAATATTATTATAAGCTAAGGTTTATACTTTACCCAAATGTGCTTAGCTTTTACCTACTGACTCCCCGCCCCCCCCCTTTTTTTCTCAGGATCCCATAGAGAAGGCTTCAATAACTGTTGTCATCACATCTCCCAAGGCTCTTCCTGGTGGTGCCAAGGACTGTATGTTTACAGGTACTTTTGACATGAGACCTTCCTTAACTAATGAGGACTGGGTATAAGCCACTATCGACTCAATGGCTTACATGAAGTATGATTGAGATAAAGCTTGTGGAACTTCTGTTTTCTGGTAAGGCACGAGTCAAAATGAGAAAAAAGAGCTGCAAATCTTCATAATAATTAGAATATAGACACATGAAGTATGATTCTAGGAAAATCAGGGGAAAAAAGCAAGAAACAAAATTTCATAGCTGCACCCTTTTTTCTTAAAATGGCCATCCAAAAAACTGAGGCTTGAGTGAAACCGCTTTTAGGAAAAAAATTCACTGTGACCAGAGAGAACCTTCCCGGGCAACACCACTGGGTGCACTAACTCAGAGCGAGTTGCTTGATGCTTGCCTCGTGGGGAAGGTGCCTATGATGGAAGCTCTGCTCCATCCAGCGCAATTCCAGCTTTTGTTTTTTGGGGGTACCCCCTTGTAGACCAAGAGGCAGTTGTTAAAAAAAATCAAGAGGGCATTGCATGGTCTAAAATCAGGAATGGTATACGTCAGGGTTGTATCCTCTTACTGTTCTTCTCCAATCTGTATACCAAGCAAGTGATCTGAGAAAGCGGATTAAATAAAGAAGACTATGGCATCAGGATAGGAGGACTAACGCCAACTTGACCTGACTGTGGCATTTAAATCGCCTCACGTATATAAGAAAGCTAGAAAATGAATAAGGAAGATGAAGAAGAATTACTGCACTTGTTGCTTTTCTGAGCAGCAACCTACACACGACAGTCTACAGACTAGAGTACGATCCTTATTTCTAGGGAGCACCGAGTCTTGTTGAGAACATGAGCACTGAAAATCAAATACTTCAGCGTGATGTGGAGTAGCCCGTGACCAGGCACCGTACAGGAGGCGCTCAGCATTAGCATCGATTGGGGCTGGAGGCACCAAGGAAGACTTCCTGCCAGCAGCCAAATTTGGAGCAGTCTTCAAAATCCAATTCTGTTCTTTACCAACTGTGTTTACATGAGGGTGAGCAAAACAAAACCCCACCAGCACCACCACCCTGACAAGCAAACTGTCCTGGTCCAAATACGTTTGCGTTTATTTCAGACAAAACACGTTGAGGCATGTCTCTGTGGCCTGTGGATCACTGAAGGCGCATTCTCCCAGTATTCCATTTCTCTCGGTCTGGCTGGGGTGCCTTAATTTTTAAAAAAGATCTCCTCAAAACAATGGCTTCTGAGGGGATCTGCTGGTCAGTTGAATTCCGAGCCGAGACGCCGAGCACAGGTGTTGACGACTTTGTTTTCTTTTGTGTGGGTGGGTGGAGGGTGGGGGGCTTTCCGGAGGGGGTGATCCTGATAAGGCTCTCTTTCAGGACACAGAAAACTAAAACTGCGTTTGTGAGACTATGCCAGGGCAGTTACAAGAGGAAGTTTTCTTTTTGTCATCGAGACCATGGATACGCTCCTTCTTCTAAGGTCGAAGGGCCCTTCTATGGGAACCTTATGGCGTCTACCCTACAGCCGTGACCTTGCCACTTCAGCTTCTTTTTGTCCACACACTAAACACATTGGTAGGAAGCATTACTAGAGTCCTCTGTGGATGTCTGAACTGCCGTTTTGATGCAGTGCAAATGCAAGACCTCAGAATTCTTCACAGGCAGATTAGAAAAATGAAAATACTACTGTGAGAAGTATTTGCCAGACCTAGATGAAGGATATGTGGATAAACAATAACATTGCTGTTTGGCGTTTTGCTGAATAAAGGTTTCTATGATTTTTATAGCAATACGTTTGTTACTTATTCTCGTATTCATTTGCGCCTCTAATCATATTGCAACATCATTAATGGTGGCATTTGGTTAGTGCATTCAGAACATGTCCTGAACCCTAATGCTAGGCCGGACACTGGACAGATAGCCAAGGAGAAACACAGTCCTGCTTTCAAGAGACCTGCCTGCAAGAGTTAGGGTGTGATGAGATCACTGCTCCCGGGGAAGTGTGAGGATGCGGGGATGAAGGCAGCGGGACTCCGAAAGAATGAACTCCCAAGTTCACCTGGGCAAGCTGAAGACAGCTTAATGTGGGTAGTGACGCTTCCTCCCCAACTTGAATATGAATGAGGCGTTATCGGGAAAGCACGGCGCTGGGGTAGCAGGACACGGTGCACATGCGCAATCACATGGAGATACAATAAAAGCCCGGTGTGTTCAGGGAAGGCAGAAAACAGAAGGTCCATGGATATTAGGACTATTAGGAAGAGGACATAGGTAACAGCAACCACAGGACAAAGGATGCTCCTACCTATGGCTATGATCATTTCCGCCACTACGTCAATTTAGCGTCGACGCTGTACTGCGTGTGCATCCGGCACAAGGGTAGAAAGTTGACTTGCATGGTCCCATTCAACCACCCCAATAGCCTGGTTCAAGCATGCCAGCAACTCCCTCCATTTTAGAGATGAGAAGCTGAAGTACAGTGAACCCTCGCCACTTTGCGCTTCGACTTCCGCGGCTTCACTCTATCGCGTTTTTTGCGTAACAGCACCCACTGCCTACACCGGCTCCTTCAGAGGAAAAAGACAGCGACCCACCTGTAGAGTACATCCCTTAAGTCATTTCATAGGCTATTGATTACAGTATTTGTAAGAACTATGTATAATAATACTGTATGTGAAATACGTAATACTGTAAACTAGATGCCATAAATAATATAATAAATAATAAATGATAATTGTAATGTCCAAAATGTTTTACTGTATTTTCCCTTTTTCATTTAATAAATTGGGTAATACGAGTGTAATGGTGACTAAAGGGTGTTTTTTCATGTCCTCTATGCTCTAACTACAAAAATATTTGATTTACAAATAAGGAATCCTACTTCGCGGAATTTCATTTATCACGGTAGGGTCTAGAACCGATTAACCGCGATAAACGAGGGTTCACTGTAGTTGTCTAAGGTTGTATCGTCAGGAAGTGGTAGCTGTGAGACAAAGGTCATGCCGTCTGATGTCAGAGCCCAGCTCTGGAGATCCAGGCATGGACCGGTATTGGTGAAGCTCAGATGCCATTCCAAGGAACTCTACTCCACCCTTAGGCCAGTGGTTCTCCACCTTCCTCATTCCGCGACCCTTTCATACAGGTCCTCATGTTGTGGTGACCCCCCAACTATAAAGTTATTTTCATTGCTGCTTCATAACTGTCATTGTGCTACTGTTATGAATTGGGCGACGCTGTGAAAGGGTCATTTGACCCCCAAAGGGGTCACGATCCACAGGTTGAGAATCGCTGCCTTAGGCGATGGCAAAGTCTGATGTTACAGGTAGACAGATTGTCCTTGCCACCGTGTGGCAGTCCAGTGATAGTCTGGACCAGATATGAGAGTGGTGGACATTAAGGGTTCCACAAGGAAGGCAAAGGATGCAAACGAGGTACGGTCAGGAGGATGGATTGAGTATGGGAGGGATGTCTCTGGAATCATACCCAAGTTCCTGTGATTGCTTTATTTAGTGATCACTTTATTAGAGAGCTCTTACAAACCTTATAACAGCCCATCATTCAATTATGCCCAAGTTTCTGAGTTTAGCAAGTTGGTGGGCATGGTGGCACTCATCAAGATAGGAATAAAGGGGAACCCGAGTAGAGATGGTGCTCCTCACTCTATCAGAGGGATGTACACCCAAACTACAATGGGTGTCTCCTCACCCCCACCGGGATAACTGTTACAAAATGCACAGGCAAAGGCAACGGAAAATGACTGCTACTGATGAGGTGAAGAGAAATCAGAATCCTTCTCCAGTGCTGATTGGAATGGAAAGTGGTCCGATCTCTGCAGAACAGTTTGATGGTTCCTCCAAAAGTTGACCGTAGAACTGCTGGATGACCCCGTAATCCCAATCCTAGTTATAGACCAAGTCCCCCCCTGCCAAACAAACAAACAAACAAACAAACAAACAAACAAACAACCCTTTGCAAGAATGCAAAGAAAAGTAAAACAAAAATCCCTGCACACCAATGCTCACTGAATCCCTCTTGGCTCTTGCTCTCCAAAAGATACACTTGACCTAAATGTCCATCAGCAGATGAATGGATAGGCAAAATGTGGCATCACACATGCAAGGAAGCAGCACTGAACCAGACGGAGGAACAAGGTCCTGATACATGCTACAGCGCAGGTGACTTGTGAAAACACCAAGCGAGAGAAGTCAGTCCATAAAG